AAGTTAAATGAAAATTACTATACATTATCGTATTATACTCATTATTATGGCATCTGGCACCATAAAATATCATTGGAATTATGTTTTTTATTGATATATTTTTATATCTTCTCTTTTTCCGTCATTCTATAAAGTTAATCTCACGTCCTTGGATTGTTTGTAATGGTATAGTTTTTTTTATTTATTTTTTATTACATTTAATTACTGTGAACGCAATATTGTAACAATATGCGATGTCTCATAATGAAATTGCGTGTGCTTATATGTCAACCGGAGGTCTTAATCACTTCGAATCGACTCTATGCTGGTACACATACATTTTTCATCCACAGAATGTTTATATCGTCGGTTAAAAAGCTATTTGCTGTAAGCGACACTTTTGATGTGAGCGAAACTTGTCATCTAGTGTTGTAGACCAGTAGCTTTCAACCTGGGAGTCGCGACCCACAAGGGTGTCGCGAATCATAGGTATAGAGAGCCGCCTAAAATAATGAATGAAATGATTTTTCCATATTATTTCAAAATAAAAATAAGTTAATTGTTTATTTTATGAAATTTTTAAGTGTTAATTAATCAATCTAGGTCCTCGATAATGGTATACGCGCGTATATGAATAGGATTAGGATTATAGGATTGCGTGTATCGACCGTGTGGAAAATTAATATACACACGCATGTAACCGACCAATAACGGGTGAACAATATTTATGTATCAATGTGTAAGTAAATACTGTGTGACTATTTGGCCACAAGAGAGCCGTTCGAAAATTATACATTTTATTTTTTTTAACATTGATTCAATTAAATTCAAGCAGTTTTAAGTGATTTGTTAAATCATTGTCGGTTAAGTTTTACATAATGCAGTATGAGCTAAATGTATGGGGGTGCTAGAATTATGTCGACCAAATTGATCCGTGGAGGCTTTGTCCCCTACAAAACCATTCATGCATACATCACACTTACTCAGTAGCGTAGCCAGAATTTTTAAATGGTGGGGGGGCTAACCACTTTTTTGGATAAGTAAGGTAAGAGAGGATATGAGAATTCACCCTTAATCCCCCCACCATCTACCACCAAGTTTCTAAACGTAATTCAAGCATTTTAATATAGTTTTAAAAATATTTATTAATATATAATTTATAATAATAATAATAATTTTGGTTTCAGTGTTCAGTCACTTGCTCCACTCTGACAGCTGCATCCTCTTAGGCGAATTTCTGGCAAATTCAGTTATTATTTCACTTTCATCGAATTGCTCTTTTTTATTTATATTAGCCATAGCTAACCCATTCAGTCTGTTTTCCGACATGGTGTTTCTTAAAAAAATGTTTAAGCGATTAAGTGCTGAAAACGTTCTTTCCGGAGTGAAAGAGTTAACTGGTAACGTGGCGAATAATTGTAAGGGTATTTTAATGTTAGGTCGAAGATTGGTGCGATGAGAGAGTAAATCAAGAGCAGGATTCGGTTTTGGAATAGTATTTTGACTCCATTGTTGCCTCCATATGAACAGGTCAGCTCTGATTGTAGATGAGGTATCATCATGGAGATCTTGGACATATATTTTAGCAGCTTTTATAATATTTTTATTTTATTATATTTAAATTGGCCGGAATAAGTCCTTCAAGTGGCATAACATCAATAAGCCTTTGATTAAAACGAGTATCCATTGACTTTATTAAATAGTCAAGATACATTATACATATAAACACGGCCCATGGAGGGGCTATAGCCCCCTTAGTCCCCCCCCCCTTGGCTACGCCACTGCACTTACTTATTAATCTATAATTATTAGTAATTTATAATAAAATAACATTGAAACACAAATTTAAGGTAGTTGTATTTAAATACAGGTAAATACATTATTTATTTTGATTTAAATATTTTATTAAAGATATACGCTTTTGAGACATACCAAAATTATTTATTATTTTATATTTATTAATTTTAGTGCTTAGATCTTCCTCAATATTAGTAACTGACAAATTTGTAAATTTTGGCTGTCCATGCTTGTCCTAAGCCTATTATTTATTCAGTGCATAAACGAAAAAGACCTTTCACAAGTAGCCGAGCTTATAGGAATAGTTAATCCTACTTGAATAAGTTTAAACAAGTTTGGAAAAACATTTTCAGTTACCGTTTTCTTTATTCCAAATATATCAAAATCCAAATTTCTATTTCGTATACAATTTCTTGTCAGCAACATTTCTGCTTTCAATAATGTTAAATCCATATTTACAACATCCTGAAATCTTCACATGATTGTATTATTTAAAAAAGGTCTTGTGATTATAACTTTACAAGTGACCTGCCTCTAGGCTTTTGCGTTTAGATTTTGTTTCGTTTCTATGAATATAAAAGTAAAACTATTAATACTTAGGTATTAAAATTAAAAATATCTTATTTCTAGTAATTCTAATGTTATCATACTTGGTTTAAATTTCAAAATTCCTTAATTTGATCCCAAAGTTTAGAAAACTATCTTCATTCCTCTCATTTTCAGAAGTAGAATCAGAGTCGTCCTCAGGAATTTTATTGGTGGTAAGAGGGGAATGAAAATGTATTAAAATGTGAGCCATAGATTCCAAACCCTCACATCCTCTTTTTTATATAAAAACAATATAGATTAAATGAAAATGAAAAAATATTATATATACAAAATAATATCAAGTTTTCTTGATTTATAAGCCCTCATATCAAAAACTTTTTTGGCATCAATTGGGATTTCTCTATGGTCGGTCAACAATGTTAAGCCGTTAAGACGATTTTATGAATGATATCAAATTATGAAAAATATAAAGTTATAATATTAATTTTTTAATTTTTGAAAAATAAATTTATATACTTGAATAATTACGTTTCATTTTGACCAAAAATACATATCTTGATACCAAAGATATAATTATTCTCAATTCCCATAGGGGTATCTATTAATCGTCGTGTGTATATTGGATCGTGGGAAACAATCTTTTCGCCTACGATGATTACCTCAATAATGTTCATGAATTTTTGATGAGCCAGAATATCAGCTGACAAAGGATGTGATGAACATAATTGTATTGTCCTCACCTGTTTATTTTTAATGTTTGTACAATTACGTACAGTCGTACACTGTTATATTTTTAAAATTAAATACTCTTTTTGTTTTGAAGTTTTAGATGTTTCTGATTTTGAGTAATACGAAACATGTATTGATTTTGCCATGAAGAGTTTTTCTTACCTATATATACTATTTCGACTTGAATGATAGTTACGATTATTGCTAAATAAGAAGTAAAATATAAGAAATGGTTCTAGTCAAAACTTACAGGGAAGAGTTATTTATTTTAATTTCTCGAAATTTTTCCGTATAATTGAGAAAAATAGAAAAAAAAAAAGTTGCATAAAATTTAGTTATTATATTTTTATTAACCGAAATTTGAATCCTAAATACTGAAAATCGATAATATACCTCAATCATCTCAACCACCAGAGGTTTTAATAATATATTTTGTGTTTAAATACTTAATGAGCCGTTTTGTGTAATTACGAAAAATAATTGATTCACCTTCAATCAGAATCGTTTTTTCAAAACTAATGGTAAATTAGTTTTAAATTCAAAAATATCGCCAGAAAGAATATTTCACCCAATTATGAAGTCCGACCTAAGATTTGTGCTCTTTTTTTAAGTGTTCTCTTATTTCTATACTGGGAAACCAATTGAAAAATTCAAAAGCGACTGGTTTAAAGTACATTTATTATCAGCTGTGTATAATACATATTATTTTTTATAGATGAAAACGATATCATATGACATATCGGTGCTAATTTAAAGTCTAAAAATGTGGTTATATAAAAATAAAATATATGTTTATCATCATTATTCATTAAAATTAATATAGTATAGATCATCAGCGAGAGAACTGTTGGAATAGAGTGAGGAAAATCTGACAAAATTAAAATTATAAAACCTAAAGATATATTTGTTTATCATTTGAAACGTTTAAAAATACCTCGAGTAATTATAATAATAATCAAATACTGTGCTAAAATGTTCTTAGGTATTTAAACCTGTTAAACCTTTTAAAAAACCTGTTTGGAAAATGCGGGAAAATGAAAATGTTCTTTGAATGTTTAGTTTAATTGTAATAAATATTAATTACAATATTTGACCACTGTATGCACTATATTTTATAAGTATTCGAACGCAATCGGAATTTGATTTTTGAACTCCTCAATATTATTACGGGAATTTTATAAAAACACAAAGGCACTATTTTTGAAATATTTTTCTGCTTTTTTCCCAGCACCAGTTTATGGCCCAATAATTAACAATATCAACAATATGTAAAGCAATATAAACTAAAAAACAAGCAAAATATGTACAACATAAAATTAAATACGAGTTGTACTTATGGATTTTTTTTTTTTGTAATGATAATGCCCAGAAAAAATCGTTCGGTACGTATCTTGTGTACTTCGAATGATGATGATTCTAATGTTTACTCAGTAGGAAAAAAGTCGAAATTTTTTCTTTGGATTGGCAATACGTATGTTTGCTGTTAGTACAAATACTTCGTAGATGATGTTTAAAAAAATATCACAATTTTTTTATTTATATACTACCCGTCGTTACCATCGCAACTAGAGGGCCAATTAATAAAACTTAAAAATCTGGCGGACCAGAGTAAAAAAAGCGAAAATATTTAAAAAATGCATTAAAATTGATAATTAGCATTTACTTTATACAATTCAATTGGACTGCTAAACCAATACAATACTTATCCAATACCTATAGCTATATTAGCTATGTCAATATGGAGATATGTATATTATATTTAGACATTTAATATATTGGTCGCCAGTTGCCCATCCCTGGTGTACACAATATCGATTACGTACGAATGATTATTATAAAATTTTAGTGAACTGTATTAACCACATTTTTATTATACACTGTCATAATTAAAACACACAGAGACTGACAAATACTATTTAATAGGAAATAATAATTTTATTCGGAAAAAAGCATTACAAAGTACGGTACACCATATACGTTAGCCGCACGATGGCTACGTTACAATTATAAAACGGGGTTCACGAATAAGCTGACGAACATATTCAATGTGTTCGCATTGTTCATTTGCAAGGACCGCTGTTTTTTGTCCATCTCGATAGGAATTTGTTTCAAGCCAAGTTCCAAATCCTTAAGAAACAATGCAGGACTTTGATGCGTTTTAGAATTTTTCTTGTATTGATCAATAAAATCTGTAATTGCCTGTATCAAGAACACTCTGTTGGTTTTCAAATAATTCCTAATGAATTCGTTGAGCTCGATGTTGATTTGTGATTCAGACAGATCTTTATACTTAATATTGCTCAAGTTTACCTAGAAAATTGGAGAATGTATATTATAAATTACAATTACAACTTATTCATGTCGAAGGTGAATTATTTTTTTCAATCTTCTTTTCTTTGAGTTTTTCCTACTACTTTTACTCATTGGAATCTTTGAACTGTGTTCCGTAGTTACTACGGCGTAGTAGATAACGATAAATTGGGCAAGAAAATTCTAAAATAGGTACAATAATAATGTTTATAACAGGTGCCCTATATATAGGACACTGGGTATGAGTTAAGCTTATTGGTTGATACCACAAGAAATCTGAACGGGCACGCTTATATTTTTAGAAAATGTCTTTATAAGTTAACCTATATTTTGTGTTTGGTTGAAAAATATTAGAATAAAAAAAAAAACGTTAACTATTTTCACAGAATCTGTCTTTGATCAATATTTATGAAATTAGAATAATCAATACTTGATAGAGAAGTTTATTTCTACTGAGAAAATATTTTTATCTCGAAAACAAGTTTCTTTAACAAAGTTATTAAAAAATGTCGATCAATTTGTCTGTTATTAAATGAGTTAATAAATTAATAATGGAAAGTATTCGTATACATTCCTTCGCATTGGAACATATTTTCGTCTTGGTAAATACCGTCTTAGGAGGGGAAAAAAACTTAGCAACTGTCATCTACGTTAGTGACCGAAATGTTTAACCGTACTGCGAGTTGTTTGGTCATTTATAGCGATTAATCGTAATGATTGCGTGTTATAGAAGTATTATTTTTATTACCATCATTTTTTCCGCCGACCAGTCCACCGTCTTATTTTTGACAGCCAATTCGCATACATCATTGCTTAAAAGCATTGCGTTGCATTCCATGTTTGTTTGCATAAATAAACCCATCATCGTGATACTCGCACTAACGGCCAATATGATAAATTTACATTGTTTAATAATATCATTAGATTTTAATGTTTCAGTTAATAATATCGACATCTATTATAAACGGTGGAAAAAAATAGAACTTTATATAGCGTATATTGTTATCGAAATGATTTTTTCACGTTAAATCGATTTGTTTGGTCAATATTCAAAAATTTTATACAAATAAATGTTGCGGTTAGATGGTATCATTGGTATAAAACGATTCTTCGCAAATTCATTATTATTAAAATTATTTTTTTTTTTTAAATCTACATATACTTTTAATTTTCATATTTAGAAGCAGAATATTTTTCTGAAATGTTGAATGTATTTACAAATTCGACTAGTTAGCATTGGACATTTAACTCACAAGAATGAAGTATTGAGTTGATGCGCAACCACAAAGAATTTTTAAACATCTCTGTATACATTATTAATCTTTACTTAACAAATAATTAATTAACTATCGCGTTTTGTCATAATTTTGTCGAACGAAATAAATTACGATTTTCGATTATCTGTTTACGAAATGCACCTGCAATGTTTTAACTCACTTCAGTATACCATCACCGGATATTGGTGATCCGTTAACATTTCCTTTCAATGTGTACGAGCTCGTGATTTCCAATGTCGGTACATACATCTCAACTGTAGAAGCCAATCCACAAAAATCGATGATATACTGTGTTATTATAATGTTTTCCAAACCTTTGAGTGTCAAACCTTTTAACTTAAATTCTGAAATCCTGTAAAAATTAATTTTCTATTTATGGATGGATACAAACATCGGCGAGGTTTTCCATCACAATATGCAATGTTGATTTATTACAGTGTGTAGTATTTATTACACTAGCAGATGACGAGAACATAGAAATAAATCGAATAAAAAATACATTTAATGTTCTGCTAAAATGGATTTTTCACTTTTATTTGAAAAACGTTTTAATTATAAAAATGTACACACTTCAAGGTATCTGATAGGTTAAAATGTAAAATGTATTGGAATGTGAACAAACAGAAAATCTATTTCCAAGTATTATATTAAATTTCAATAATCATATATTATGTATTGTACTTTAGTGTACTGGTAACGCGATATGCAGTGTGATATGTGTAGGTTACTCATACGAGTTTTGTATTTATGTGAGACTATTAGTCCATTAGGAGTACATTTTTCGAAATTCATCAGTATTGTGCCAATGTACAATTTAGCGAGAAGAACATAATATAATAAGGATAACGAACAACAACCTTTAAAGCTATATCGTTATAGGCACAATATAAATGCCACTCAGGAATGTAAATGAACACAATTATAATGTCCTAAGTTTTCTCGTAATGCAAATTTTTCTATTGAAAATAGCCAAAAAAAAAAACAATATGACTCACTCGTTTTGTTCGTCGAACGTGTTTTTGTAGTTGGGCAACTCGGCGATTTGAGTAACGGACAATTCTTCCTTCATCTCAGCAATCAACTGTTCCAAAATTAATTTCAACGCAGCGCTTAATATTCCCGAATATGTACTCTCGACAGATGAACACATTCCCGTTGAAATCGACCGACCTGAATGTGCCGAATAAATCGATTAAAATGCAGACATCGATCGATCGTTAAATGTAACATAAATATTTGTTATATATTTAAAACTAAATCAAAGACCTTGTGGCAGCGGGAATTGCTACGAAAACAGGTGCATGGAATTAATGTCCACACCATATATACCAATATACTCCATAGGCGTGCGCACGGGAAGCACCGGGTATGTTCGGGCACTCCCCGAAACGTTGTAAATAGGGTTTCTACGATTTAAGTCTAAGAGTAAGGAGCATTCGTTTTAACTGAAGTTACTGAAATTGAATGTATTTTGTTCTAAAATATTTGATAAAAAATAAATGATATTTCGTAGTTGGAAGAAACAAAACTAGATATTCTACATCTTCGTGCAAAAACCTATTATGATAACACTACAGTTGACTGCAAAAGTGAAAATCATAAAAAATCGAAGAAAATATACGAGACCCGAGGAAAACATGTACATCGGGACTTATGTATCAAAATAATAGATAAAAAATCGAAGTTATATTTTTTAAAATCATTTATACGTGTAAATTGTAATCTATCAATTGTACCCACACGTTATGCTTAGATAAGGATCAAAAATATTTTAGGCACCCCCTGAAATGCAGGTCTGCGCACGTCTATAAATATGACTGTATGCTTGAGCAGACGGAGAATCGACTCAACGTTTTACTCCGCGTTGCACTTACAACGATAAGGGGTCATCATTATCACTATTATTATTATTACCTATTTGTTTTGGATCGCTGGACAAACGTTTGATGGCCCAAAATGCATTTTTCAATTGTTTTAATATTTCCTTTACTGTTACTAAGATCGACGTGTCCGTTCCAACTTCTAGTACGGTCTGACTAGTAGTCGAGTCGAGGTTGGCAGTAGTAGTTACAGGAGAGATGGTTGAAATTTGGGCTGTGTCCGCCAGGTAAGAGACCATCAACAGCTGGACAACGATGCAAATGAACGTTACTTTTGACATTTTGTTCTTTCGCTGAAAAAGATAAACATATTATTTAAACACGAAAATCTATTTTAAATGCAAAGAAATCGCTGTGTTATATTTTTCTAGAGCACAATAATCATTAAAATACTGAAACGCGAACACTCGTCTCGCATACGCTTCGATAATGTCTCACCTGATTTAGACGACGAATAATAAATCGTATTGGTTATGGTAAAGTTTGTCGATTATGCGACTCGGTTTACTGTTTCAACGGATATGACGTTAAAGCTCTCGGCGATTGCTCTAATATACGTGTTATTCGAGATAATTTTATCCGGTAAAAAGACGTAAATTGGTAAGCGATAAAAAAAAATGGATGCATTTTTAATAGCTGTTCGGGTAATAAAGTGCAAGTTAAGTCACAGTTACAACGTATTATCATATTAAACTCATTATTATGCCATCTGGCACCATAAATTATAGTTGAAATAATATTGTTTATAGGTATATTTTTTTCTTCCGTTTTTATTTGTCTATCAAGTTTATCTCACGTGTTTGGATTATTTATAATATTTTGATTCTTTCTCTTATTAAATTACCGCGAACGCGATATTAAAACAATAATTAAAGTCCTTTAATCTAAAATGTGGTATGTTAATAGCAATGACTTGAGCGGCAAGCGCCAAACAAGTTTTGTTTTCATAATAAAGCTTATTAATAATCCAACGTGAACATCGCATTAATTCCTCCACGTAGTTTTAAGAATTTCAGCAGCTATCTGTTAAGAAAATGAAAGAAGGTAAAATATTTAGGTCATCTCATAATAACCATACATAGGTGCGATTGAGTGTTAAACAAACAGTTTCAACATTTATAGTATTAAACATTTTTTTTTTTTTTTTGATTGACTATTTTACTTTTTTACGACTATACGTTCTTTACGAACGCGTTATGCGCTGAAAAAAGTTCATAAAATTCGAAATACCTTTATCGTTGCACTCCATTTATGCTTTTACGAATAGTTTGATACTGAAACAGTTGATTTATGATTGTGCAATAGATGAACTTTAGAAAAGTCTCAAAATTATTTTGAGAATATGAATATTAATTGAAACTCGGAGCGAAATGCTTACAAATAAATCTAAAAGTCAAGCCGCTGAAGTTAAAAGCTGTAAATATAAAACGACATGCTAGTTAGATTATAAGTAGAGCGCGGATTTTGAAGGCATTTTCTTTTTCATTCTATTGTTTAGAAATTAAGCTAGATCAGCTAAAAATTTTATTTGTACTACTTAGAATAAAATGCACGACATTTCATTTTGCTTTTTATCGTTGTATCTTTTACGTTTTTTGTATATTTATAATTTTTGGGTATTTTGTGTAATTTTTTTTGCTTTTAAGTTAATTTTTTTCAAAATGTGTTCTAAATAAACTTATTTGAAATGATTATACTTATTTTAATATTATTCAATGTGTTCCAAATCTTGTTCAATCATTTCTTGACATACTTTTCCATGTGTGTTTGTCACTTAACGTAAATTATATAGTAGATTAATTTATCTTGAAACGACAATAAACATAAAAATATGCTCTTGCTCTGAAAACGATCTACTCAAAATTATAATTCAGTTTTTGTTGTAATACCGCATAGTCATTTACAAAATTATTATTTCTTTTTTTTTTTTAACTCATTTTTAATGGGTTTTTTTATGCTTTTTTTGTAGGATGTATACAGCTTTATTATGTATAATATGTTTATTATAGTATAATACTTTTCTTTAGTTTTTTGTTGATTTAAAATCCGTACACTAGTAATAAGTAATACGTTTTTCGTACACTTTTAGAACTGCGATGGATCGAAAAACATCGACATTGTTGAATCGCAAAAACAAAAATATATATATTTAACTTTCATATCGTTCGAGAAAACGGTTCGAATTTTACTGGCCGTTAACTGCACTGGTAGAAATCAAGTCTGGAGAATGGTGAAATACGAGGACAATTAGCAGTGTCAAGTCCATGTCGGTTAGACAGCTCAAATCTTCAGAGGTATAAATGGAAAAGATGGATGTGCCGAAAGTCAAAAACGAGAAATATCTCTTCGGTCGCTTGTCATTAATGCGATGTTTCACGGACCACACTGTGCAGTCAATAAGCACTACTATAAATAAAACGATTAGGTGACTAATTATGTTTCATGCGTGTGCGTAAAACCTATGACTCTGACGATAATGTAATCGAACGAATGGCACGTACGAACGGTAATTTCAAATGATTCGAATTTAACAACTCGCAGTTGTTTTACACGAACACGGGCCGCTTGGAAATTATGTTGTAAAATGTTATTAGTCCGCGAGCGTTTATTTATTTATTTATTATGTTGATTACTAATAAGGAATAAAAACAATAAATGTTTTAATCTCCGAAAACGATAAAGTTAATAATACGTTCGTTCGGATTTACGATCGCAGCTCTCGCCGGTCGATTATCCAGATGAACTGCGCACAAGTCGACCGATATAATACGTCAAAAGTTAAAATTATAATTAATTCGAAAACAGTATTTGAAATGTTGAAGTCTACTGTGTGCGGGATATTTTGAAGGCCGCGGCGTAATCAGCATTGATATTTTGAGAATTATTTTACTGATGTCAATCACCGCGTCGGAGGCTATCCAAGATGGTAAGGTTAGGTTAGGTGGCAACAATAACTGTGTAAAAACATATTTTTTTCGTTCGAAAATATTATTACGTGCACAACGATATGAAAAACATGCTGCAGTACTCGCATCGTCCTACAGGGACACAGCTGTTGAATTTTTAGCCATAAAATAATTGCTCTGGATATGACCGTCAAATAATAATTATTGCAAACAATTTTTAATTATTATTTTTTTTTCGTTTTGAAAGTTTATTTGCCCTATTTTTTATAATTACATTTCGTTTTTTATTATTTGAGATATTTTTATTTTTAATTTAATAATTTATTTTTAAATTTGCCTCTACCACGTTCATTGTATTTATTTTAATAGTTAATACACTATTATAGTTTAGAACATTTACTATTTCAAAATAAAAATAAATGTTTGGTTGAAAAGTGTTGAGATATTCTAACTTTCAATCCTGAACCAAAAAACTGTTTTAATCCTAAAAAACGTGATTTTCGAAAAACTCTTTCTTAGGGAACCTAAACATAGTAACAAGTACCTACATTCTCTCAAAATATCTAATTAATCGGTATGGTAGTTTTGGTTTTATGTAAATCAGAAAGTGTGTGGTATTTGAATTGTATACAGGTACCTACAGCTTAAACGTTTGTACTACGACTAAAAAGTCTTCACCTGCAAGATAATTAGTTGAATTTTTTAAAGTGAAACTTCTTTAGGCGCGGCATCGTAAGTCGGATTCATAGGCCGTTGCGACCAAAAAGCGTTACGGACGTGACTTATCACTGCCGCCGCAGTAGGCCGTAGTCTTTAACAATCATTGTATATTGTTTTAAAAACAATAAACAATGTTAAAAAATGAACAAAAAACAATGTTTTCAATTTAATTGGCAGCAGCGACGTGATGTATAATCCCATGCCTATATTTACCTAGGCTATACCTCGTGTTGCGCTATTCAGCTGAACCGTATTGTGTGGTGTGTTATTATTTCACAGTTTTTTGTTCACTTTTAACCATTGATTATGAATTAGACAGAAGCGCAGCGAATTAAAAAAAAAAAATCCGTAAAAACCAATAAAAATGGTAAAAATCGAAATCTGCCGAGAACATAATGCACGGGAAAAAACATTCCAATCCATGGTCGATCGTTACCAACAAAAGGCAAGTAGATCTAATACTAACAATAGTCAACTGTTATTAACCTGTTGATTTGGCCGCATCATCAACGGTCTTCTGTTTACATTTACGAATATTTTTTAAAGTTTGTATTATGCAGTAAAATCGATCATTAAAATTATTAATATCCTTATTAAACTCATGTTTCGTACATACTACACAGTGCCGTAACGACCTCTCGTGATGCCCTCGATGCGTTTTATTTCAGCACTGTTTTTATACAAAAGACCCAATTTTAGTTGACCTCGAATGCGCCCCTTACGCCCTTGGCACATCGATCCGTATCGCCAACCTTTGTTACGATATTTTTCGATGGTCCGCGGCTGAAATCACATCTGCTGCGGTGGCTTTTTGTTAGTCCTGTAGTCGCTCGTGCGGTAAATAGGTTGAAATCGAAAATGTCGTTCGGCTTCTCGCCTCATGTACGCGTCATTCGTGTCCCGAAACACGACGACGAAAAAGTAGAAATGTGTAAAAAAAAAAAAAAAAAACGGTTCCGAAGTTACATTTTTTTTATTATATTTCTCAAGAAAAGGACATGCATTTGACATTGTGTTTACACGTTCGTATATCCGTGTGCATTGTCATGTAAATCCCGTGCGCTTACGGGTTCCGCGCGTTCCGGTGAATAAATCGCCGAAACGTGAACAACAACGGTCAAGACGATCCGCGGCGAGACACGCTTAGGGACACACTGTACAAACGGTAACGCGTCCTTGGCCGGCCAAGGAGTCAAACGGCAGGAGCAAGCGCGCGAATCGTGTTCCCTTTGTCGTGCACGACCTCGCGACGGCGGCGAACGGGTCGCGCGGCCAAACGAAATAATAATAAAAACGATAATAACGATCGAATAGAATACGAAAATAATAAAAACTAGGACGTCACGACTCGCGTCCGATATTTCATAACGCCTCTCTCGAACGGTATTTTACGTACGCGGTTATTTATTATATACCGGGCGCGGTGGAAGGCAAATAAGAGCGTTGCACACGGGTAAATGAGTTTTCGGACGACGTGGACTAATCGGTGTCAACCGGGCGCGCTTATGCGGACGCACACATACCGTTAAGCACTCGCGCGTACAATATCTAACCCTCAGTCCGAGATCCGTACACGTAATACGTCTGCATGTATGTTTCGAGCGTTGCATTATTATACGTCGTCGCCTCACGGTTTTTTTTGTTTTTTTTTTTTTTTGTTGTTTTTT